GGCTTTCACTAGTTCATATCCTTTTTCACTAGTCGTTGTAGCAACATAGAGTCCCATACGCTTGGCAAGTTGAATCGCAAAAGTCCCGAGCCCACCAGCGCCCGCATGTATAAGAACCTTTTGCCCTGGTTTCAACTTCAACCGATTATAAAAAGCTTGATACGCAGTCAAACCAACCAGTGGGATACCCGCAGCCTCGACAAAATCCAAACAGTCTGGCATTCTCGAGACATAGCGCTGCTCAACGGCAATAAACTCGGCAAATGTGCCTGTTCGATTTGAAGGAGGGCGGGTATACACAAGATCGCCGACCTTGAATTGCGTGACTTTGGCTCCCACCCTACTAACGATGCCGGCACAGTCGTTACCTAAGATCATGGGCATAGGGCTCGTATACAAGATCTTCACCATACCATTGCGACTTTTATAGTCAATCGGATTTACACTAGCAGTGTGGATTTCAATCAAGACATCCTCCTCATTCAATGTCGGCATAGGAAAGTCCATCTCCTCTAAAAGCGATGTTTCACCGTAGCGGCGAACAGCCATGCCCTTCATGGTCTCTGCCATAGGGGCACAGCACCCACCTGAGGCACGCACGAGCCACTGTCATTTGGTGCAGTGCCGAGCGCTCGGATTCTGACTAACCAGGGACCTGCCCATTTGTCAGATATCAAAAATCCTACTAGATGCATGCCAATGCTCCACGGAGAAAATAGGGGTACGTGTGTCCCTGCTCAGTAATATCACGTGCATGATGTGTCAGAGCTCCCTAACATGGGCGGTAGGGAGCGTGCCGCTCCATATCTTGGCTAAAGGCTGTGGGATATTGTCACAGCGAGATAGACGCGGCTGATGACCACTCCCGTGCATTCTGTCTCCAGTCATGACAGAAATGATGCACTTGATGGTGTATATCTGGCTCCGCGTGTGAACTCCGCGATTTTGGACGCCCCTGCGCATCCATCCGTGGAAGTGTTATCTACGCCATTGGACTCGGTGGCGGGTGTCGCACAGGATGACAATGTATATGAAACCAACACGCACAAAGCCAATACACATACAATTTCTTCGGAAGGCGACATGCCCGACCACTATGCCGATTTCCATGGGTCCCCCACTCAAGACAACGAAAAAGTTGCCCACCCCATATCGGCTCAAGCTGCTCCTGAAGACGCAGGGGAAGAGTCCGAGTCAGAGGAGGGCTTTTTCAAGCGCATATTTTCCAAGTTGGGCTTTAGAAGCGGCGAAGCCCGGCGACTTGAGGCCATGAAGCAAGAAGTCCAGGAACGCATGTGGCGGGATCCTTCTCCTTTCCAGTGGAAAGCTGGAGATCTATGCTCTCTTATTGATCCTCAGGACTTTGACAAACTTCAACAACTAGGTGGTGTTAATGGCTTGATGACGGGGCTGGGAACGAGCGCCGAGTATGGTATATCTACGACTCCGAACCAGCAGGACGCTTCCAAACAGTATGTCGGATCCATGGAGGACAGAATTCGGGTGTATGGTGCCAATGTTCTTCCTCAGAAAAAGTCAAAAGGCCTCCTTCTACTTATGTGGCTAGCACTGCAAGACAAGATCCTGATATTGCTGATCATTGCGGCGATCGTGTCGCTCGCATTGGGGCTCTACACAGACTTTTCTCCGCCGCCCGAGTACATCCCATGCTTGAATCCACCCCCGGGCAAGGACGAATGCCCAGCACCCGCCGTTGATTGGGTAGAGGGTGTGGCTGTTCTAGTGGCTGTAATCATCGTGGATTTGGTGGGCTCTCTCAATGACTGGCAAAAGGAACGTCAATTTCGAGTTTTGGATGCCAAGAAAGAGGCCAGGAATATCACAGTGTTGCGCGAAGGAAAGCAATCCCTGGTGGATGTCCATGATGTGGTGGTGGGTGACATTGTGACTGTGGAGCCGGGAGAGGTCATTCCATTTGATGGTGTCATGCTGCGATCGCATAACGTCAAGTGTGACGAGTCCAGTGCGACTGGCGAATCAGATATGATTCAGAAGGTGACATATGAGGAATACATACACGAGATGAACTATGGGTCCGTCAAGCACAAGAGTGTGTTTGTTCTCTCTGGCTCCAAAGTTCTTGAGGGTGTGGGCGACTTTGTCGTGACAGCTGTTGGGCCCATGAGCATGAACGGCAAGCTCATGATGTCACTCCACGACGAACCCGCCAACACTCCTCTTCAAGAAAAGCTTAACAGGCTTGCTGAACTTATCGCTAAATTGGGAACAGCAGCCGGCTTTTTGATGTTCATCGCACTTATGATACGCTTCTTTGTCAGATACGGGAGAGACCCAAATCCCGATGGGAAGGAGTATGGTGAATCGTTCATCAATATCTTGATCATTTCGGTCATTCTTATTGTTGTGGCTGTTCCAGAGGGTTTGCCACTAGCTGTCACTTTGGCCTTGGCATTTGCTACGCGCCGCATGTCCAATCAGAACTTATTGGTACGAATCCTGGGTTCATGTGAAACAATGGCGAACGCAACGTGTATTTGCACGGATAAGACCGGCACCTTAACTCAGAATAAAATGAATGTGGTGGCGGGCTGTGTGGGTTCGGATTTGTTGTACCTGGATTCTATCAAGTTGGAGGTGGAAAATGCCCAAGAGAACAGCCATACAGTCGACTTGGCAACACTCACAGAGCACCTCGCGCCCAACATTCGTGATGCACTTACCAAGCTTATCTGCATCAATTCGACGGCTTTCATACCGAGTGAGACGAACCATGAGGACGAGGTGGTTACCTCTACAATGAAGCGGCCCTGGTGGACACGGTTAATTTCTCGTCCGCTTAAATCGTCGGCACTGTTGAAAGCCGCTAAAGGCGAATCAGGTTTTATTGGATCCAAAACGGAGACAGCACTACTCAACATGGTGCAACGCCTAGACTGGGGGCAGTACGATCAGATTCGTCAAGCTGCAGAAATTGTTCAAGTGTTACCATTTAGCTCCAAGCGAAAGGCAATGGGAGTGGTGACAAAGACAGATGATGGCTACAGGTTCTATGTGAAAGGCGCCAGCGAGTTGCTCTTGAGCAAATCGACCTCGGTCGTCCAAAATGAACCAAGCAAAGAGTCTAAACAAATTCAGTGCAAACCATTGGACGACGCTACCCGGCAAGAATTGTTGGATACGATTACGAATTATGCAAGCCAGTCTCTTCGAACCATTGGACTTTGTTATCGAGACTTCCCTTGCTGGCCGCCTCCAGGTGTAGCAATGCAGGACTCTGGCGAGGTTCTTTTTGAAGACCTTGATTCTGAACTTACCATGCTAGGAATCGCAGCCATCGAAGATCCCCTCCGTTATGGTGTCACTGAAGCTGTACGCGCTTGTGGTCGCGCTGGTGTTCGCGTCAAAATGTGCACAGGTGATAATATTCTGACAGCGTGCTCTATCGGCAAGCAATGCGGTATATATTCCGCGGGTGGTGTGGCCATTGAGGGGCCTGATTTCCGGCAGTTGTCGGAGACTGATTTGGCTGAAATGGCTCCACACTTGCGTATTCTTGCTCGATCCAGTCCAGAAGATAAGAAGACTCTGACTGACATGCTGAAGAGTATGGGTGAAACAGTGGCTGTGACAGGAGATGGTACGAATGATGGACCGGCCCTCAAGTCTGCCAATGTTGGTTTCTCCATGGGTATTGCAGGATCGGAAGTGGCAAAGGAAGCTAGTGACATCATTCTACTGGATGACAACTTTTCTAGCATCGTGAATGCCATTATGTGGGGACGTTGCGTCAATGATGCGGTGCGCAAATTCTTGCAATTTCAAATTACTGTGAATATCGTTGCTGTCGTCGTTACATTTGTTTCGTCTGTTTCAAACAATGGCGAAACTTCAGTATTGACACCTGTACAGTTATTGTGGCTGAACTTGATCATGGACACGCTAGCAGCGTTGGCATTGGCCACAGACCCTGCAGACCCCAAGTCACTGGACCGCAAACCCGATCGTGCTTCTATGCCTTTGATTACAGCCGAGATGTGGAAACAGATTTTCATTCAGTCTGTTTACCAGATTATCCTGATCTTTGTTTTGTACTACCGGGGCAAAGACATCCTCAATATGGACGATGATGTTCGTGCGATTGCGTTGGTGAACAACCTAGATTTGAATACGCTTATTTTCAATGTGTTCGTGTGGTGCCAGTTGTTCAACCAAGTAAATGCACGCCGTTTGGATCGCAAGTTGAATATTCTTCATGGTATACATAAGAATATCTGGTTCATCTTGATTATCCTGATCGAGATTGGGTGTCAAGTATTGATTATATATGTGGGAGGCGCAGCCTTTAGTGTCAAGCGCATTGGTGGACGTGATTGGGGCATTTCCATTGTTGCCGGTTTCATCTCATGGCCTTTGGGTGCATTGGCGCGCATGTTTCCTACCGAACCCGTGGAAAAGCTGTTAATCAAGTTGAAGCTTGCGCCTGATCCCAATGACCTGCCATTGTTTTCTCCGACTCGAACCGGAGCGAGTGATTCGTTGTCAAATTGGAACGAACCGGCCATTGGACAGATCGCTAAACAGATTGGAGCTTACTCCCGCATTCGAGGAGGGCGTTTGCGCGCAAGCAACCTTGTTCTCAAGAGCAATGCCAAGCTCATGAGGGAACATGACATTCACCCACGTGAAATTATGGCCATGGTTCCAGCATTCATCGGCACCAGTGTTGGTGGAATGTGGAAAATGGAAGCTCGAGAAAAATCTCATCAACCGCAACAAATCAAACGGCCTGCCTCTGTTCTCTTCAAGGAGGGAAAGATTCGTTTCCATCCAGATACGCCGGCTGATCATCCATATCTGCTGTCTTTGAAGCAGCAGTAAGATGTGCATTCCTCCTCTCGACTTGTTGTAAATAGTGATCCCTCTGTCGATATATATATATATTGCTTTGTTTATAGAACGTCAACATTGTGTCAAGCGTAACAGCCTTCAACAACTAAAATCAAATGGGATGCAAAAAGTAGTCCAACCCGGAATCGAACCGGGATCTTATCCGAGCGTCGCGCTGTGAAGGATACGTCATAACCACTAAACTATTGGACTGTTCGTAGATTTGCTGAAAGAAAACCAATATAACCTGTTCGCCAGTGAATATGAAATAGAAAAATGTAGTCCAACCCGGAATTGAACCGGGATCTTATCCGAGTGTCGCGCTGTGAAGGATACGTCATAACCATTAAACTATTGGACTCGCCGTTGACAAAGGGTGATGAAATTGCATCCAAGTTGCAAATGGTCTATGCTATGCCCCACATTCTTTATATTGACTGGGACGAAACCATCACACAGAAAGATACACTTTCTCTTCTGGCTCCAACAGCCGAGGAAGTGAAGGAAGGCCCTACATTCGACTATTACCAAAACGAATATGTTCGTGGATATGAGCGATTTGTACAACACTTTGGAGAGATGAAAACCAAAGAAGATTTACTTCGATTTGTGAGAGACGTGAAGCAGTCCGAAAGCGAATCGATTTCGAAAATCATACAAGGAGGATTGTTCACGGGCACAACTCATGCGCAGCGATATGAAAGGCTTAGGTCGCTACAATATCGGGATGGATGGGCCGATATGTCAAGGTACATTAATGAGAGGGCAAGAACAGGTATGCTGAAGGCATACATTGTGAGTGTGAACTGGTCTAAAAGCTTTATTGCGGAGGGGTTACGACGAGCTAACCACACTACGAAAATGGCTGGTTTGTATGAACCAGGCTTCAGTGAGATCTACTCCAATGAATTGGAGGAAGATGCGGAAACGAGCCTTTGCACAGGTCGCATTGTGGGTCCTCTGCAAGCGGAACCTATTCTAAGTGGCTTTGACAAGCTAGCTATTTGTCAAAAAATCGCGGCCACAAAGCCCGACAGTGTGCACATTTACATCGGAGATTCTTTGACAGACTGGCCGTGCTTGCTCTGGGCCGATGTAGGCATACTGATGGGATCCAATTCGAGTTTGTTGAACAAATTGCATGCGACAAATTGGCACACAAGTCTATGTCCTGTGAAAGTATGGCTGACACTAGACTGGAACGAAAAAAGGTCTTTGGTTGTACAGGCAAAAAACTGGAGCGAAGTACAAGATCTGCTACAGAGTCTTCCTCTTAATAAATGGGGACCATAAGCTCGTCCAGGGAAGCGAAGAACTCAGCCAGCGAGGGGCTGGATGCGAAACCAGGGTCCAGCATCTGAGCAGAGAAAGCAGAAGCGGCATCCATAATAGGATCAGTTGCCGTTGTCGTACTAGAGCCCAAATGGAATAGACTGCTAGTATTTTCGCTGTCCATGCCCATAGTGGATATGGTGGAACTAGGGTTGGCCATGGGCTTCGAGGAAGCGCTGGTAGAATCAGCCTTTTCTTGACGCGCATTGGCTGCTGCCAGTAGCAAGTCAACCAACTTCAAGGCCACTTTTTGAGACTGAGGCAGCGACTGACGCACTTCGATGGGCCCATTCAGATAGTTCATGACCACACCAATATCGTCGCGGAGTTGATGTGCCACTTGAGAGGACCCTTGCGCCGTGTTGATAAGTTCAAGCAAATGGAGCGTCAGCACAATGACAGCTTGGAATAGGTGGTGACGGAACGGCGCATGACGTTGAACAGAGGGATGGACATTGTCAATTTGCTGGCGACAAGAGATGATCGTACGAGCGGCGTCGACAGATATGCGTGTAGAGTATGCATACTTCTTGTCATGATGTCCGAGGCACATAAAGGCACGGTGCAACATGAGAAGACGGTGGTTTACGGTTTCGAAGATGGTGAGTCTGTGCATAGCCAAGTAAGGGCGCTGTGCCTGCTCTTGGCGCACTTCGGGTAGCTGCTCGAGACCAGGGTCGGGTCTCAGATACGTGGGCAGCGATGATAGCAGGTTGCGGAACTTGGTATCCAACTCGAGCACCGAGGAGTAAGACAGCGAGCCGGATTGAACCATATTTGACCACTCGCGGCACAAATTGGCGATCTCGTACAAATGTGGAATCAAGTTGTTGATAGTCGGGCGGCCATCTTCCTTCACAGGAGGGAGAATGTGGGACTCTCCGTCCGGCAAATCTTCTTCGTCGACATTCAAAGGTGCCGACGTGTTGGACCTAGAAGGGTCCATGTGTGAGACACGGCGAACGACGGTTCCCAGCACCGTGTCCTGTACCATAATGCGATACCACAGCCGACGAGCAGCTTCGCGCACCAGGTGAGACCGATCGGGTAGACAAGTGGCAGTTGTAGTGGGTCGGGCCCACGCACCGGAACGAACGGTAGCGGTAACAGCCGAAACACAGACCAGCTTGCTTTCCGGGGCTTGTCGCCACCGTTGCTCATCCTCCGTGGCTGAACCAAGCTGATGGTAGCCCTGCTGCTCTGCAAGGCGCACTAGAATCGACATGGTAACTAGCGGTTCAAGCAGCCGTCCTCGCGAGGCGTGATAATCCACACTCAGCAAGAGGGCAGCAATGTGGTTCCAGTTCGTCTTGTGAACACAGTCATCGGCAGCCAAGAGCGATTGGGCCGTGTCCACCCATGCATCCACATAAGGATCCACTTGATCAGCCGAGGAGCAAAAGCCTTGGTCAATAAAGAAACGCGACTCGGTGTACTGCGCCGCCAGGCCCAGCAGGACCAGCAACAGGGCCAAGAAGGAGGCATCGAGATTTTCGGGCACAGTAGAGTGCATACGGTTCCAACTTGCAAGCTGAGCGCGGTGCGTAGCCAGTTGCGCCTTGACCAAGCGCCAGCTGATTCCATAGGAAACATGCAAATCGACGGTCTGTAAGATCTTCAAGAGATAGTCAGACTGTTGGGCATCGGGAAGGATGTCGAGAGCCGCACGGATTCGAACAACGTTATTGTTCATACCAAAAGCAGCATTGTCGAGAAGGGCATTGACGATACTGTGGCGCGGCAGGGCCTCTGCGCTGGTGCTAACGGCTGCGGACCGGCCAAGCGTCTGTTCGCTCCCAGCCAGTGTATTTTGTTGGCTATGCCGAGCAAACATAGCCAGAGCATCTGCGGCGATATTTTGCTCGGCCTGCATCTGTGCCATCTGAGCATTGTCACTGGACTGCGAAGGGCGCTGATGCTGTTCCATCTTTGCACGCCAAAATGCCAGCTCGGCCGCGACCGCCGCATCCTGCGAGATAGCTGCGGTGCTAGGGCGATCGGTATTTACATCACCCAGCGAAAGACCTGTGCCAGCAAGGAGAATAGGATCGATCTGGGTCTGGCTCGTCGACGACGATGGCAGTTCGTGGGACGGCGGCTGGGAGGCATTACCCGTGGCCAAGCGCTGTTCAAGGTGGCTAATACGCTCAATCACCGCACGGGCATCATTGTCCAAAGCGAGTTCTGTGCCCTGCGTGCCAGCCCAGTCGCTCGCGCTCAGGCCCATCGAAGGGTGGGACGTGTCTGATTTGGGGTAAGCCATCGTAGCCGCCGCATTGTGCATATCAGCGCCCAAGGTCATGTCCGAGGACCAGATACAGCGCTCTGCCGGAATACGATGCTTTTGGCACTGACCGCAGTAGGGCTGCTGTCGGTCACACTTGACCTTGCGCTGCTTGCAAGGGAAGCAAGTATTGATTTTGCGTCGCTTCGTCGAGGGCGGCTTGGCCTGCGGCTCTGGCGCTGCCATACGGTCCCGAGTCGGTAACATATTGGAAGAGAGCGGGTCCACAGCATGGTAGTGCTGCCCAGAGTGGTCGTTCATACTGAACGCCTGAGGGGGCGGCACAGGCAGCGTGTGCGAAGGTATGGAATCGATGGCACTGCGTTCCATCAAAAAAGCTCAGCACAAAACAAGGGGGAAGAGCCTGAAGCAGCAAGATAGGTCGTCCGCCGTGCAGCACTGGGACCACCTGCAGCGGTAGTGTAGGTAGTACGCGAGCGCGTCAGGTGGAGGCTAGTCGGCCGATGGTACACGCGTCTACGGAGACGCGACGCGGTGGTGGTAGCAAAAGCGGCCGAGAGCAACGGCCGAGACGGTGTGGCGGCCGAGATGCCAGCGGGCAGGGTCCCACGCACGTGAAACTGCAAGGAAGGTCAGGGAACAAAGACTACGTAAGCAATTACGTGCCGCGGCGGAACCAGCCAGCGAGCCAACCTCGTGGGCGCTGCGCGGCCTCGGCGCGTCGTTCCTCTTCCTCGGCGAGCGCGTTGGCCGGGTCGAACGGTGCGTCGCTGACCATGTCAGGCGCAGGAACTTGCTCGTTTTCGGGCTCCGCTTCGTCCACGTCCATAACTTTTTCTTCCTCCGTAGAACCGCTTGCCACGTACGCTTCAGCTTCCCGCAGCGTATGCTCGACCACCGCGGCATCAAAGGACACGTGGCGCTGCGCATATGAGTAGAGCGTTTGACCCGACTTGGACGTGTGTATAGGCGCCGCAGGACTGCTGTGACGTGCGATCGCCGAGTAGACATCCATGCGTGCCTGTTGTAGGGCCTCGGACCGCTCAGAGAGTGCAGGGCTGCCGCCCAGCAGCTGCGGAGGGAATGTCGTATCCTCGTCCTCGGCACCATCCGCAAGCTCAAGCGACTGCTCTGCCTGTCGCACATACAGGTCACCGCGCTGCAGCAAGACAAGCGCCTCGCCAAAAAGGCCGTACAGCACAAAGGCTTGTGCCAGATATTCCATAAGGGCAGCACAGTAGAAGAAGCGCTTGGCCTCTAACAAATTCGAGACATCCGGCTCGCCTTCAATCATAAAGAGGCCTCCGATGCCCAGTAGACTGCTGTCAATGCCTTCCAGTAGCTTGGCAAGCCCAGGCACAAGTCGGAGACGGCGTCGCTCCGCCTGACTCTCCGCGGCGCACTGCGCACGGGCTGTACGCTGCGCGCGGCGCTCAAGCGCGAGGCGATGCGTGCCACTGCGTCCGGGGCGCCTTCGGAAAGCCTTGGGTTCGGTGCGTGGCCGCTTCGCACGCGAACCCGGCTGGGGACGTTTTTGGTTCGGTGCCACTGTCGGCGGCGGCGGCGGCGGCGATGGCGAGTGCCCCGAGCGCGCACGGAAGAGAAGCTGGGCCCGTGCCTCGCGCTTCTGTGCACG